CCTCTGTTAAAATGACCAGCTTTGAAGACTTCATGGAACTCTTTATGAGCATAGTGACTGGCATTCAAATTAATATAGATGATCACATAACTGAACAGACCTTTCTCTACATGATGAATGAATTACATAATCATGATATGTATCTAGATGACCTCTGGCTGGCCCAGCAAAAGACAACTGTGATCCCTCATCAAAGAATTGTGAGATTTGAAGAGAGTGGCATAGAGATAGAGTCTAGTTCAAATGCAAAAGCTGATGTGATTCCCATCTCTGCTGTAAGCTTCTCTAGGCTTGTGAGCACTCAAGAGAAGTGAAACATTGAGATCTTCACTGTCAGTTTGACTGACATTCAAAAAACTCTAAAAGTGAAATCAAAGATTGACCCTAGAGAAAAGCTGTCTGAACATTATCATGAGTTTTTGAACATATTTGATAAGGAAGCTGCTGACACTCTACCCTCACTTTGTGGCCCAGGTAGAGATCATAAGATTGAACTGATTAAAAAGACTGATGGTAGTGTGAAACAACTCTCTTAAAACTCATTATATAATATGTCTTGAGAGAAACTACTGGCTTTATGAAAGGCTCTTACAGATTATCTAGATAAGAGTTTTATTAGAGTGAGCAACTCCTCTGCAGCCACTTCTGTACTATTCACAAAGAAGTCTGAGAGTGGGCTAAGATTCTGTGTGAACTATTAAGCTCTTAACAAAATCATCTGAAAGAATTGATATTCTCTATCATTAATCAGTGAGACTCTACAGTGAATTGAACAGGCTAAATGATTCACTAAGCTGAACATTATTGCAGCTTTTCACAAGATTCAAATCACAGAAGATGATGAGTGGATGACAGTCTTTAGAACCAGATACAGACTATTTGAGTGGCTGGTTACACTCTTTGATTTGGCCAATGCTCTGAGCATGTTTCAAAAATATATCAACTGAGCATTACATGAATATCTAGACGACTTCTGCTCAGTCTATTTAGATGACATCTTGATATTTTCCTCAAGAAGCTTACAGGAGTATTGCAAGCATGTACAAAAGATGCTTATGTGTCTACAGAAAGCAGGCCTGCAGGCAGACATCAGAAAGAGTGAGTTTGAAATGAACAGCACAAAATATCTTGAATTCATCATTGAAGCAGACAAGAGTATACAAATGAATCTGAAAAAGATTAAAGCTATTTTGAAATAAGCAACATCTACTACTCTTAAAGATGTATGAGGATTTTTAGACTTTGCTAATTTCTATAGATGATTTATCAGAGATTTCTCAAAGATTGTGACCTCACTGATGATTCTTACATGCAAGAATGTTTCTTTTTTGTGAATGAGCAAGGCTGAGGAAGCTTTTAAGTGTCTAAAATCAATGTTTATCTCTGCTTCAATCCTGCTTCAATTTGATCCTGACTGTGAGACTATATTGAAAATGAATTTCTTAGATTATGTCTCAGAAGAAGTGCTGCTACAATATGATAAGCAGAGCATTCTACACCCATATGCCTTCTTCTCTTGCAAGCATTCACCTGTGGAATGCAACTACAAGATTCATGATAAGGAGTTATTAGTAATAATTGAGTGTTTAAAGAAATGAAACACTGAGCTATAAAGTGTAAAGAAATTCAAAATTCTCACAGATCATAAGAATCTAAAATACTTCATGACTACACACAGACTAAATGAAAGACAGCTATGTTGAATGGATATTCTCTATCAATTCAACTTCAGAATTGATTATCAGTCAGAGAAGTTGAACACTGGACCAGACACTCTATCATGAAGAGAGCAGGACATGTCACAGAGCACTGATGATGAGAGAATCAAGCAGAGACAAGCTCAACTACTTAAGTTTAATGTACTGACATCTGAAATGGAATCAATAGTGGCTGCTGCCAGTGTGAAATCTGAGATGTCTCTTCAAGCTCAGTGGAATGAGGCTCACAAAAATGACAAAATTCTGCAGTGTCTGAAGCAAACTCTTCATGAGAGAAGATTCAGATTTCCTTCTGAACTCAGCATTAAGACCTTCATCTCTGAGTGCTCTTTAAATGAGAACAGGGAGCTTCTCTTTCAAGATCATAAGTGGGTGCCAGACTTTGAACCTCTTTGAACCAGATTAGTGCATGAGGCTCATGACTCATCTCTTATCAGCCATTCTGGGTGAGAGCAAATGGCAGAAGTTCTAAGATGTGAGTTCTACTGGTCAGACTATACCATCAATGTGAGAAGAATGATCAGAAACTGCCATCTTTGCAGATCAAACATCACATGAAGAGATTGACATCAGAGACTGCTTAAGCCTCTCCTCATTTCTGAACACATGTGACAGGAGCTTTCCATGGACTTTATCATGAACTTATCAAGCTCTAAAGAATATATAAACATCATGATTATAATAGACAGACTGACTAAGAGAATTATATTAAAAGCAGTTAAGAAAACTGATGTGGAGACAGTGACTAGAGTGTTTCTTTGTAACATTATCCCTCAACATGGCATCTCTAAGGCAGTAGTGTCAGATCAAGGATCAGCTTTCACAAGCATGTTTTAGACTCAGATGTGTGAAAAATTAGGCATTAAGAGACAACTCTTCACAGTCTATCACCCAGAGACTGACAGAGCTACAAAGTGAATGAATCAGATTCTGAAAATCTACCTACATAAGTACATTAGCTTTCAACAGAATGACTGGCATGAATGACTCTCTCTAGCAGAGCTGGTCATCAATAATAGAGATGCTGTCTCAATGGACATGAGCTCATTCTTTTTAACACATCTTTTTCATGTTTCCTCTATTGATATAGCTGATGCACCCCTCATTGAAACACCACATAATCTCATTGAGTTTGCAGATGATTACATGAGAAAGGTCTGTGAAGTGTTGAAGTGAGCTCAAGTAAAAATAATAGATGCTCAGCAATCTCAAGAGAAATACATGAATATATGAAGAGACCCAGCTTCAAGCTTTCAATCTGAAGATAAGGTCTGGTTGAGCTTAGAGAACATGAGAACTAATCATCTGTGCAAGAAGCTGGATGTGAAATACAATCAATATACTATGCTAGAAAAGATAGAATTTCATGCTTACTGACTGAACATCTCACTCAGCATTCACAATGTCTTTAATGTAAAGCTTCTACATGCTGCAGTGACAGATCCCCTGCCTAGTCAGAGGCAAATCAACTGACAGCCACCCACTATAGAGACCTCAGAAGGACCTGAGTTTGAGATTGAGGAAATTCAGAATGAATGAACCTATCAGAGAAAAAAGCAATACCTCATTAAATGAGTAGATTGGGCTGAGTCTATGTGGAATGACACAAGTCTCCTACAAGAAGTGAAGGCCTTGAACACTTGGGAGGCCTCTCAGCAGGCAAAATTAGATGTAAAGAGGGCTTTAAATAGTCATAAAGGCCTGCAACAAAGAGGGAGAAGGGGGGTATTATAAGAGGTTGAACCTCTAGATTCACTCTGGCTGGCTGACTCAGCCTAGCCATTGTTTGCATGTGTGCATGTGATCATGCTATGTGAGCTTGCTTAAGCTCAAGTTCTCATCTCATTCTTTTCTTCCCTTTCTCAAGCAATTCATTCTTGTTATATAGGAGGACTAGCCTCTAGTTCTTAGAGCTTAACCCTTTACAGTTACTTATTTTATTTAAGTTGAAAAAAAACTGAATTAAAATTGAAACTATAAATATATCTTTTGTTAAAAGATTATTAAATACTGTATTATTCTAAGATAAAACTCTATAAGTGCGTGGATTAATTGCTATTTATTAGTTAGATTAGTAAAATAGTTAAATCCTAGTTTTAACTAGGTAGATATCACAGTTACTAACTGAATACATCTTAAATGAAGAATAATAACATTAATAATAATAGTTTTTCTGAGTTTATATTGTGAATATATTTTTATTATAATAAAAAAAAGCTCTGTTATTACTAACTTTCTGAGACTGCTTTAGAAAAGACTGAATCTTTAAAATCATTGATATGTTAAATAAGAAATTGAAGTCAATTATAAAAGAGAAATAAGAAATAGAGAATGAAATAAGACAGCTTAATCTTCATCAACTATCTAATGCAAAATCTACATGAAAATAAAATATAAGAACAGATAAGCTTTCTTGTGACAGTGATGGTGGTAATGATATAGATTGATAGTGATATTAAATCAAAATTCTTATTTCTAAAGCTTTTTCTCTTTGCTAAAGAGTGTGAAAAAAAATATTCAAATATAATTATTCAAGAGAATAAAGCTTCTTTTCATGATTATTATATTCAACACTGAATTTATAATATATACAATGTCTGTAAAATGCTTTGATGTGGTAATTCCTCTGATCTTAAGTCAATTGAACCCTGCAAACCATGGATGAAGTGAAGAACTATATGTAAAAAGTCACTGAAAAGCTGAGCAGAAGCTATTAAGATATAAGAGTAGTGCGTGCTGGAAGAATCTGTTTCAGGAGGCAATACAGACATGGATTGAGTGGATTCCTATTCATATTCAAAAGATTATAGAGCTAGAAGGAGGTAATGAATATAAAGAAGGCTGTGGAAAAGTCCTATAAAATGAGTGCATATTTCTACATTAAGTTTGGTGGTGTTTTTAGTGTATTATTTAGTGGCAGGAAGAAACTTTTGAAAGGGACCGTACAGTCCGCCACAGGCGCGAGATATCTGCCGCCACGGCCGTATCGCCGTATCTAACCTGTCTTACAACATCCCTAATAATAGTCGTTCCAAAGAAAAATGTCGCAGAATCTTTAAAATTTGGACATATATTTCGTACCCCCTGGGGAGTTGGGGCGCAGTATTTAAATTACGTCATTGATAAGATACGGCAAAATGAAATTCCGATGTCGCTGCCCTTTAGATGAAACAAATTTTACTTTTCCTATATATTTACTTGGTGTTCATTTCAATGGCCATCTCCAACATCCAATTAGGGTCGATATGGTAATGTGAAGTCATGAGAACTCAGCAAGTAATCATGCCTTCAAAAGATGCCACGACTGCTTCAGGAAGTGACTTGCTGGAGAGGAGCGAGGAAGTTCGAAATGTGAGTGGAGCTAGTGCTTACCGGTGTGTCAATAAGTTGCATTTTATCCTCCTTCAATTCATATGTTGGCTTCTTGCATTAGCGAAGAGCAGTTCACTGATCATGGTGTGCTTTACCTGTAGCTATTGAACGCTGTCCAAGAACGACTTGTATCGTTTATACGGGCTGCAGATCACGATGATTTCAGCTCTTCCAAGGCTGGAGACGCTCCCCGCCACCCTTCTGCCTTAGTACAATACGTGAAACCAGAGGAATTGCAAGCTACTATGAATCTCCAAATTCCATCCTTTGGTGAGGGCCAACGCGGTCTTCTTCGAATCTTAGACCAAGTGCTGCAGTATTCGGTCAACACATGGCATCAGGGGTTTCTGGACAAGCTATATGCGTCTACCAATGCTCCAGGATTAGCGGCAGAGTTGATCATCGCTGCACTAAATACGAATGTTCATATATATCAAGTGTCGCCTGCGTTGACCGTTATTGAAAAGTTTACTTCGAAACAGCTGGCACACCTTTTTGGCTTCGACGGGCCTAACTCTGGCGGAATATCTGTTCAGGGAGGTTCTGCTGCCAATGCTACTTCGATTGTCATAGCCCGGAATACTCTATTTCCAGAGACCAAGAAGGATGGCTGTGACGGATCTAAATTTGTTATATTCACGAGCACTCACGGGCATTATTCTATAAAGAAGGCAGCCTGGATGCTTGGATTTGGAGGCAGCGCGGTTTGGTCTGTTCCTGTTGACGAAAAGGGACAGATGATTCCCCAGTCCCTTGAAGAGCTTGTCATCAAGGCAAAGAATGAAGGCAGGACAACGTTTTATGTCAATGCGACCGCAGGGACAACGGTACTTGGATCGTTTGACCCCTTGGAACATATTGCGTCGATTTGTCGGAAATATAACCTCTGGTTGCATGTTGATGCCTCCTTGGGCGGTTCGTTTGCATTCTCCAAGAAAAAAAGAGGAAAACTTGCTGGCAGCCATTTAGCAGATAGTCTTACCGTAAACCCGCACAAAATGCTAGGTGTACCGGTGACTTGTTCATTTCTTCTTGGCGCAGACATGACACAATTCCACCGCGCAAATACACTCCCGGCAGGCTATCTATTCCACGATGATTCTTTAGAGTCCGGGTTGAATGGCAACGACGTGAAATGCCCAGAGGTCTGGGACCTTGCCGACCTGACGTTACAGTGTGGCCGCCGAGCTGACTCCCTCAAGTTCTACCTGAGTTGGATTTACTATGGCTCGGAGGGTTATGAACAGAAAATCGATTCCGCCTGTGATGTGGCCGCTGATCTTGCGGCAGCTATTTCCAACTCGCCAAACCTTATTCTTATCAGCGAGAACCCACCCCCATGCCTCCAAGTTGCCTTTTATTATGCTCCCAACAAACAACTCGTCTTCCCCCGAGGGAAGAAAGTAGGCGGTAAACAATTGGATGAGGAGGAACGAGGAAAGCGAAATAGCAATATAACACAAGAAATATCAAAAAGGCTAGTCAGTCGAGGATTCATGATCGACTATGCACCGCCACCAGAAGGCGATCCATCGGCTGGTGACGGTAAATTTTTCAGGTGTGTGGTTAACGTCCAGACAAAGAAAGAGACCGTTGAAGCTCTGTTGGCTGCTATTTTGGACATTGGGCCAGGGGTTGTTAAACAGAGTGCTCGTGGGGATAGCATTGATGACCCTGACCTGTATGCGGGCGCGGAACCATTTCGTATGGGAAATCCAGCCGAGTATGGGCATGGACCAGTGGCACATACCCCTGACCTTTTTGCGGGAGCGAAGCCATTCCGTATGGGAAACCCTGCGGAACACGGGCATGGACCTGTTCATCAAATACATATATCTAACTAGGCTACAACGCAATAGCGGTTTATTAATTTAAACTATTATGTTCAATACATGAATGTATATCTGAAAATGTACAGAAACAAAATGAGGTTTCCTTAGAGTGGATTTACGTAATTTAGATTTCATTCTCGGTGTGAAAAATGTGATATAGTCGATATACGAAGGTGGCCCGATACGGCCCAGAAAGGGGGGATGATGTACGAAATAAGAAGGCGGTTGAATCCAAAATAGGTAATCCTCTGTGAGGCAGAATAGTGATGATGATGATGATATTGAGCTTATTGAACTTCCTCTATCAGCGAACACAGGATTTCCCCCCCCTTTTATAGAGGTTGGAGATGACTGATATCCTTATGCTGATACCGCTCATTCTATATGCAAATCTAGCCCGAAAGGGCAAAAAACAGACATAATAGGAAAGATATTCTTAAAAGGAGACCTATCGAAAAAAGGCAAATTTTTGAGGTGGAGCTGGTAAGCCGCATGCAACTGCAGCACGTTGGAACCAATGATACAGTCCGCCACAGGCCTTAGATATCTGCCGCGCGCCGATGTCTCACGTCTTACACTAGGCATGGGTGAAAAGAGTGCTGTAACGAATTGCATCGCTATATATTTAAAGTTTTGAGCATGAGTATGCCATGATAGCAATGATCAAGCAAACAAAACTTGGCACCTTTGGTTGAGCGGCTGCGGAGGTGGTCAAACCAGTTGTCCCCTGTATGTGTTCCGGCTATATTTACCCTGATGTGCTATATCTGATATACATCTGCTAGCACTGGCGTAATGGATTTAGATAATCAGTAAGAACATGAACTGCTAACTGGGATAAAATTACTTCCGTACAAAGGTAGGTATCATTTGGATGATAAACAACACAAATGGTGACGACGGGAGGTCATAGATCCAAACATCCCTAACTCCGTACTTCCACCCGTCGTTCCAACACCGCCCTCGCCTCCGCCTCCATCAAAGTTTCAATGTTTAATTCACCCAACAAGGCTCTCGCGCTCTCGTTATTTGCAAAAAGCCGCTTTTCAACGTCCCAAAGCGACAAATGTGGGGTATCATCATGATCCTGTGCAGGTTTAATCTTTAAATTGAGCAGGAGCAATCCATCTTCGAGTTTCCGCATAACTTTTCTTGACTCCATTCCATTTCCCATGGCCAGGTCGACAGCATTACATATGTTATCGACATCCACCGCAAGCTGGGACGCACCAGCTGTTGAAAATGAATTACGCATCAGTACGTTGTCCCATATATATGTTTGGATGGAAAGCAGGAGTTGGCATGTAATTCGCTGGAGAGGAGCCATCGCCAGGAGTCGATGGAGAAATGAGATCTCATTAGAGAGGACTCTAAGAATGACGGCTAACTCGACGGATGAATTTGGTAAGTGCCCGCTGGTGTTTGAGGGTGGTGCAAGTGATGCCCAGGTAGATATCCGAGAATATGGGCGTAGTGCGGATTGGGCACTTGATATCATCGTTGATATAATGATGGATTCCGATCTCGTCTTCAGTCCACGGTATGCAGACGCTGTTTCGTCAAAAAGGGCCCCTTCAGTCTGATTTTCGCCGCTTTCGTTATTATTGGCCACTGTTGATGAGGTGCGGGCGGCAACATCGGAAATACTCATTGGTCCTGCTACAGGTCTTCCTGTACGGCTGTTTTGCTTGATTCTATCTTGGAGTTCAGACCAGAGCTCCAAGAAAAACACATCATCACTCCAATCCTGCATTTTCCGTTCGAGGTATTCTGCACTACCATATATCCGACAGAGTCGCTCCAGCCCTGCCACACCCTCCAAACTCGTGTCTGTGCCTGAAGAACCCTGTACCGTGCGGCCAATTGTACACGTCATCGCAAGGTACGCTTCAAGGCCAGATCGTAGCCGTAGATGAAATTGATCAAAGATCGTGATTTGGATGTCTATAAGAAAACGCAGCTTTTGACTGAATGATGACAAAGGCCGGTACCGCTCCGTAATAGTTTCAAGAAGATCATTGACCCTAATTGCAGCCTTGGTCGGTTTCGTAGCCGACGGTTCAACCCCATCAGAGTCTATCTCCCCACTGTCCTCGCCGTCAATGATATCCTGATAGCGGGATAGTGCAAAATCTTTTTCCACCTTTAGCCAGTGGTTAAACCAATCTTGGAGAACGAGAATCTCCCACGTCAATCCTTTCCAAGCATCTGAAGAATACCGATCCTGAGTGTAATTCCATACGTCTCGGATTTCGGTATCAAAACTCATGAGCTCATGGATAAAGTGACTTAAAAGTTGGGGATGGTCAACTATTCTTGGAAGAACAGAGCTCAATTTTTGGCGAACCATAGGGAAGAGAGAGGTTATGAAAGATGACACTGCATCAGCATATGCCCAACGGATACCTGAGTCGGCAGATTTGGCCTTTTTGTCGAGGATGGGCTGAAGGTAAATAGTAAAAAAATCGCCGTGGGTGTTGATCAAGTCGATAACATGAGACAAAAAGTATTCAGGCTAAGAGTGTTAGATCTGCTACTTGTGACAAGATGTGTATTTTAGACAACACATACCTTGTCTAATCTGTTTGTCGACTTATCACCACTGAAGTGGTACTTGAATCGGAGCTCAAGAGGACGGGCCATCACCTGCAGAGGCAGAAGAACAGGTGGTTCCCATCGTGTAGATGGAGGGCTGAGAGGCTTTGCACCACTTGCAAGTTCGCTGAAGTGTATAAAGGTTAGAATGCGTAGTTTGAACAATGCTGTTCCATGGGTTCGCTCACGGCTCTTGCAGCTCTAGCAATAATTCTACTGCATCCGTCCAGTCGTTTATGAGGCCGTCCGGAATGTCAAGTTCTTTCCCTGGCCATTTCATTTTTGTTAGGACTTCTTCTAAGTTATCTTCAAATACTTTGGCTATTTGCTCTCGTAAGGTATTTGCTATTTTCTCGGCATAGTCGACTAGATGAGGCGCGGCTCCTTCTGCTGCTGGTTGGGCAGATTTCATGCCAGACGAGAGGTTTCGTAATCGTGCATATGGACGGAGAGCCAGGCGAGGAGAGGTCGCAAGGATCTCCAAAGTCTCTTTACTACACTATTTCAGTAAAGGTTGATAGCCAGATCTTCTTAAGAATTCATTCGACAAACCTAAGATCATCTACCTCACGCAAGGTTCCCATATAATTCTTCGCAATGTCCAATCTGCGAAGGCGCTCCATGCTGATTTCGAATGCCTTGGCTGCCTTCTCGCTGGTGTCCGATTGGGTAACAATCAAAAGTCGTTTATCCAAATCCTCCTGCTGTTTCTTAAAGGCCTCAGCCTCCTTGCGCACCCTTTCACTGTGTTCCTTCGACGTCTGAGTGGCATTGGCGAGAATGCCCCTCGCATCATGAAGCTAGGAGGTTCCCGTCAACGGAATGAAAGAAATTCTGTAGAACTAGAGGCTTGCAGGCATACCTGTTTTTTTTGAAGCTCCTGCTGGCTCTGAAGGTTCTGGAGGATGGCGTCTAAATTCCGCAAGTCCTGTCCGGTCTGGATCATATCATTCAAATAATCCTCGACTCGGACTGCCTCCACAGACTTATGTAGCATCTGCTCTCTTGCCATTGCGAGAATCCCAATCAGCCGCGAGCTGTTGGATACCTTTAGGGCGAACACTCAGTCCTTGGTGTTCTGCGTAGGAGACACGTAACTAACAGCTGAGCCTCCAGGTGGGCAGGAGTTGGGAGCTCGGACCACCTGAAGCTCTCCCAGACAACTAACTAATCGTGCCGCTGCGCAACCCACACCTCGTGTGGGTGCGCCACACCAAAATGATAAAAACACCAAAATGATAAAAATCTTAAATCACATCCTCATTATTGCACTCTATATCAACAACCAGTAGCTAATCTATAATAAAAAGATTATCTACATTATTGCACTCTATATCAACAACCAGTAGCTAATCTATAATAAAAAGATTATCTACATCATTCTCAGTATGTATGCCATCTCTAAATTGATTTAATTCCTCTTCTGTCAATAGTGTGAGTGAATTATTGTCAATTTTCATGAGATCAACTCCAAGTCTCTATTACTTCTTATTCTGCTCTTTTTCAGCTTCATTATCCTTATGTCACTTGATTTTTCTGTTGGCATCTTTAATAGTAAGAATTCACTCTACTTAAACCTGGTGACAGATTGTTTTAGCTCTGTAGTATTTACTGATATTAAGAAAGTTCTCTAATTCAGTGATCTATTGCTCATTAAGTTCTATATGAATTAGACTTGCTTTGAATATCTTGTTCAAACAACATGTCAAGATGGGTGATTTCAAATCAAAAGTATCTCTAATACTTTATATGGTGTTTTTCACAATATTAATATAGTATTTTAGCTTTTGAATTGTCTTTGATGAGAATAGCTGAGAAGAAGAGATAGATATATGATCTGAAATATTCTCATCTTCATAAATTTGCAGTGAAGAAGGTGATGAGATTCACTGCTTAAGAGTATCAAGAACTCAGTCAAAATTCCATGAATATATATCATATTGAGCTCATTCTTCAGCTATTGTATCAGATTTAAAGATCTGCTTTTACATAGCTAAAAGGTCTTGTAGAAATTGCTGTTTTTCATATTTAATAAAATCATGATATGCAGCATAGTTGACTACTTTTGAATGATAATGTCTATATTGCTGAAATGATAGACTATTCAGAAATTGTAGCAAATGAGTGACATGTGATGAAAATTCATATAGAATTATCTTATAAAGGTTTATGTATTATATGAACTCAAATAGAATCTGAAGATGTTTAAATCATATATTAATACATTCAATATCTTCAACTGCTACTCTCTTTGAATCTATTGACTTCTGTTTCATCCTCTTATACTCAGATAGATATTCAATGAGTCTATAAGTTCACATCTTGCTGACTTTTGAAAAAGAGGTAGTAGAATCTATATGCTGATATCTAAGCATTGAATTTATGAAATTTTCAATGTGTTCAGCTATAAGAGGACAATTCTTTTCATCAAGCAGCTTGATTCATTGTTTAATCACATCCTTCTGACTCTCATTTAATCTCTTGTTAACTGGAATCTTTGCAGTATTCAGATTCCTTCCATTGATATACACTTAGAGATATTGATAAGAAACCTCAAATTCTCATGACAGAGGCAATATTGTGAAATTTGAGTTTTTTTAACAGTAAGTAACAGCTTTTTGAATACAGTCTTCAATATTTTTATCCTTATTTGACATTGTGGTGAGTTATTAATTGATGAAGATGATGAAGATGATGAAATTGCAAGATTTTTATTGTTTTGGTGTTTTTATCATTTTGGTGAGGCGCACCCACACGAGGTGTGGGTTGCGCAGCGGCACGATTAGAAGTTTACTAGCTACCAACTACACTCCAACATCTTCTCTATTTATCCAACCCATCTTTCCCAACCATCACACCTCTCTCATGGAGACCAGATATGCCTATTCCTGCTAAAAAGCGCAAGTTAAATGAGCCTGGACCGGCGAACCAACGGACTCGGGGAATCGAATCATTCTTCCGGAGCCAAAAATCTGCTTCGGCAGCAATCACTCCTGCTCAACTAGAACCTGGGACCCCCTTAGCGGACGAGGAACTCGCGCGCAAATTGCAGGCGAAATGGGACGAAGAAGCTAAATCCGGTAATCAGTGCTCTAGTAACCTCCAGGACTACCAGAATCCGTCGACACTGGAAGCCAAACCCGAAGGGCTTACACAGGAATTTGGCACTCGACTACAGACTCATGGTACCCCTGCGTGCGGTGATGTTTCTGGGAATGGGAAACCGAATAGAGTCTTATCATTACAAATCTCTTCTAGCGCTGAGGATACTATTTCCCAGTCGATACCGTTTGACCAAAGTCCTCTCACTTTTGAACCTTCATCTTATGCAGAGAATTTGCGGGCCCACTGGGCGCTCGAAGGGGGCCACGCATCTTATGCCATTCTTACGAGAGCATTTGTTCTCGTCAACAACACTCAAAGCCGGATTAAGATTGTCGATACACTAGTCAATCTCCTGAGGTTACTCATAGAAGCTGACCCGGGCAGTCTCGTTTTTGCAGTGTGGCTTGCAACCAATGCGATTGCCCCCCCATATGTTCCAGTGGAGTTAGGGTTGGGCGGGTCTGCTATATCAAAAGCATTGAAAACTGCATATGGATTAAACAACCAAGGATTGAAAGCTTTGTGGGACAAGTTTGGTGATGCGGGGGATGTTGCCTTCGAGGCGAAGAAAAGGCAGACGTTTACGTTAAGGAAGCCAAAACCGCTATCAATTAGAGGAGTCTACGAATCTCTCTTGAAAATTTCTAGAAGCAAGGGGCCGGGAAGCCAGGAAATCAAACAACGAATCGTTGAGAAACTCCTCCAAGATGCGCGAGGCGCGGAGGAAAGCAGATACATTGTGCGAACACTTGTACAGCATCTCCGCATTGGCGCGGTGAAAACAACCATGCTCATTGCTCTGGCTAGAGCTTTTCTTTACTCTAGACCTTCTACGAAAGATTTCTTTGTATACAACCGAATCGAGCTCTCAAAACTCAAAAAGGAAGAAATGGCGAGCATCTACAGCAGGGCGGAGGAAATCGTGAAAGCTTCTTATGCTCGACATCCCAGCTACGACGATTTAGTATCATGTCTTTTGGAAATCGGTATTTCAGATGAGCTTCTTGTGAGATGTGGGCTAACTCTCCATGTGCCATTACACCCAATGCTGGGAAGCATAACAAGGGATCTACCGCAAATGCTTACCAAACTCCAAGGGAGAGCTTTTACCTGTGAATATAAGTATGACGGACAACGGGCCCAAGTACACTATGATTCTTCAGGCAAAGTCTCCATCTTTTCACGACATCTGGAACTCATGACGGACAAATATCCTGATTTGGTTGCCCTAATCCCTCGGATTCGGGGCGAGGGTGTATCCAGCTTTATTTTAGAGGGGGAAATTGTTGCGGTGAACCAGGAAACTGGGGAGCTATTGGCATTTCAGACTCTTACCAACCGTGCTAAAAAGAATGTTGGTATCGAGAGCATCAAGATTAGTATATGCTTGTTCGCATTTGATCTCATGCTTTTGAATGGTGAACCGTTGCTAGAGAGGCCACTCCGGGAGAGACGGGAGCTCCTTCGAGGTCTGTTCATCGAGGTTCCACACCATTTCACTTGGGTCAAAAATCTCGATGCGACATCGTCTGATTCGGAAGCGGTGTTGAGTTTTTTCAAGGAAGCTACTGATGCGAAATGCGAGGGGCTGATGGTTAAGTTGCTCGGTGGTTCTGTTCAACCTGAATTATCTAAAGAGGAATCTGTTGCAGAGCCGAACCTCAACAGTGATTTAATATTAACAACAGGCCATGTTGAACCAAACGGTAACAACAAAACTAGAGCTCGGCGATCCCTGCTCTCTACTTATGAGCCAGATAAGCGGCTTGAATCGTGGCTTAAAGTGAAGAAAGATTACAGTGCTGCATCTGATACTTTGGACTTAATCCCGATTGCAGCTTGGCACGGACAAGGCCGGAAGGCCAAATGGTGGTCTCCTATCCTTCTTGCCGTTCGAAATCTTGAAACTGGCATGCTTGAAGCTGTCACCAAGTGCATATCCGGTTTCACAGACAAGTTCTATCAAGCAAATAAGGAAAAGTATGCAGAAGGGAGTGATAATATTATATCAAGACCGAGCTATGTGGACTACAGAAGCCAACCGGAGGTTTGGTTCGAGCCGCAGGAAGTCTGGGAAGTAGCATTTGCAGACATTACTCTGAGCCCCACGTACACAGCGGCAATTGGGCTCGTTAGCGATGAGCGAGGACTTAGCCTTCGATTCCCAAGATTTGTCAGAGTTCGTGAGGATAAAGGGCTTGAAGAAGCAAGTAGTTCCGATTATCTGGCGAATTTATGGCGGAAGCAGACCGAACGACTTCGGGAAGAAGGGGCAATAGCTAACCCTATCGCGGAAACTGACCATTTTGGATCTGAGGATGATTGAGCCACTGGAGGAAGCTAATATTAGTGGAATCGGATGGTAGATGTGAGCTAAGACCTGGAACCATATATGGAAATTCCTCTTGGATCCTGTTTGGTTCGATTTTGGTGGACCTGATCCATGTCTTTCCGTGCTGTAGCTGTGCAAGCGATCTATCCAGATGACTGGCTTGGTTGTGGATATACTTTTCTTAACCATGGCGAGCAACTATTGAGCCGCCTAACTTGCTCATCAATAAGAGATGAATACGTCATTTCAGAATAAAGAAAAATGGTGGATCATGATTTATCATCCGCTTTTGCTACGGAAACCGCTATCAAAAGATTTTAACCTTCTCGGGGCACTCAAAAGTCGGAGTAAGTCGCATTATATATCCATGGAAAACATAATCAATAACAGGCTTGAGATTAACATTGGTGTTTAAAGACTTCAGTTAAGACTTATGATACTCCCAGCCGGAGTCACAGTGGCTTCAGGCCTGCGTGACCCTAGACAAAAGGCCACATTCTAGGTGTTCGTCATATTTTCTTTTAGTGAAAGTAAAACTTCTGGTAGCGACTTAAGCTTTCCATAAGAAGAATAATCGGCATGGTGACCCTGCAAAGAAGAGGATTTTGAGTTCGACAACATATCAAAAGAGGAAGATCTCTGAAGGCTATGATGCATTGTTTAATTAGCCTTTTTATTCACTTCATAAGATAAAGCTTGAAGGACAACATCAATTATATATATTTGCCTCCTCCCTCCGCTGTCCATTGTCAAGCGTGAGACTGAAGCGTTCTCTCCTCCCAATTCAAGAATTATCAATATTTTCGAACTTTATCGTGATCAATACATAGTCAGCTATTGCTATCTCATCAGGCAATATGTCTTCTCTCCCGCGGAAAGCCTTGATCGCCGTAAGCGGTGCCAATCCCCCGTTCTATCTGGATGGGAGAAAAACAGGACTTTCTTTTCCAGAAGCCCTACTTCCGTACAACATGCTTGTAGGAGCAGGTTTTGAAATCGATATCGCATCAGAGACAGGTTCATTTGCCTATGATGATCATTCCTTAGAGCCGCATCATCTATCCCGCGAAGACCAGAGGATTCTTCGCAACTCCAGCTATTCCTTCCATGAGAAAATCAATCAGCAGTTATTCAAAGCTGGAGATTTGGCACCACACGACTATGGGCTTTTCTTCGCAGCTGGAGGTCATGGCGCCATGTATGACTTCCCACACGCCCACCATCTGCAGGCTATTGCCGAAGACATTTACAACCGTGGCGGAGTGGTCGGTGCCGTGGACCAAGCCCCGGTTATTCTAGCAGGAATGCATACCCCGGAGGGCGATCCGATTTTGAAGGACAAAGAAATCACAGGCTTCACGACGAAGGGCGAAGTTGAGCTCAAGGTTATTGATAAAATCAGAGACGATGGACTCAGAACGGTGGAGGAGATGGCTCAGGCTGTCAACGCTCATTACTTGCCACCTTCAGAAAATTTCGATGACTTCAGTCATATCGATTCGAGGATTGTAACTGGCGCCAACGCAACAAGTACTAGAAGCACTGTGAAAAATGCTATCAAAGTGTTTGAAGGGGTTGTTGGTGATTACTGAACCTGTTTTGTGTACTTCACAAAACACTAAAAAGCACGAAGCACGATTGATGATTCGAATGGTTGTACTCCGTTCCGTTTAACCAGTTTGCCTGACTTGCGCACCGTTTTGTCATTAGTATCAAGAGGGAATGGAAAAAGAAAAAAAGGGATAAGTGCCATTCTGCTATCTTTGGCCAGCCTTCCCTATTGTGTAAGGGGTCGCTGCCGTGCCTTGATTTAACCGTCTGCTTCGGATTCTGTCTCACAAACAACCAGTGTCGCCAATGCTCCACAAAATGATATTTTCTGGGCCAATTAAGTTCCATAATCTCCGTTCTAAATTCGGCAACGGGCGTGCCGTAACCTGGAGCCAGCAGCCCGCAAATAGGACATACGTATTAAAATCGAATAGCCTGGGGAATCTTCACCTTCGCTTGTTAACAGCGGTACTGATGTTTCAGCGAATCCCATGACGGGTCCGCCTTGCATGGTTAGGGAAAGCTCTCGCTCTCTGTGGTTCGCCCTGGATCTGCAATGTTTGCTTCTGGTTTTTCGTTGCTATTGTTTGAGCCTGCCATTCAATCTTTCATTGGTTGACATTTTGTGAACTGTGAAGGCTCATCGTCTTGATGTGATGGAATTTTCTATCTGCGGGTCTATGTAATGCAGGGTGAGAAATCAATCGATTGCATGTTAACTTTTTATAGTAAGGGACACCCTAGATATTTCGTTTCAATGATCCACCATCTCTATGAAACAAAGGGATTTGAAATATGTCAATCATATTAATTGTTACCTCCAGAGGATTCCTTGGCTTGTCCTCCAGAAATCAATTATCTAGCCCTTATATGGCCCCGAAGTAGCTAGGGATATGATAACTTCATTACAATGTATATTGACAACACACTTTGGCCATCGTCTATGAAAATACAACCCCCATCTTTACTCCTTGTTCCCTTGAATAATCGCAGGGGGACCCTGGCCGGATCCCAAATCCTCAGATAGTAGAGCTACATTGCAGATCCCATCCTTCTGATGTTTGAACCTGTAAATGCGTCATCACATCTTGCATCTCCAAGAGCAATATTACTCCCGTTGCTGAAACGTTTCGTCAATAGCTCTAACCCCTTCGCCACCAATTGCCATCCACCAAATTTGGGAATGCTAATGCCGTAAAAGGACAAGTGCCTAATTAGGTGATGAACGACGCTGGACGGACCGATCAACCCCTGAATCTCGTTTGGGCTTTGCAACGTTTTTTGAGTTGTAGAACGAGTTGAATATGCCAGGGAATACCTTGGAAAGAGGTGCTTTGTACGTGGGCATGCAAGCGCATATTATGGCGACGTTTGCTTCGATGATAGTCCACGTTGAGTAGTTTGTCGAGGACCCTAGAATTTCAGTAAGCTTTAAATATTTACATTGCTGGAATAAAGATATAACAAGATAGCATAACACTCACAGGTTATGTCTAAATTCTCAGTTGCAATATTTAATGTCGTTAACCTGAGCACACTGGTGACGGAGATGCTAGATAACGGGTTGCATTAGCAATTTCCTAACAATTCCAGATAAGAGGGGTGCACAGTTGGATGTGATCTTACAAAACACCAACAGCGAATATTGACATTAATCCTATCTTCACCCGCTTAGGCAATTGCAAGTTGCAAGAAATCCCCCTTATTGCAACAACAAAGATTGGGGATGTAGGGCCTGCCTGAAGAAGACATGGAAGATATGTAGGTATAAAATACCAATAACGCAGTGCAGATGCCCTGAGATTATATCAAGGGATGGATTTCTCACAAGCATTAAACACATTTTCTGTTACATGAACTAGGGCAGATCACACCAGAAATCAACCCATATTTGGCAAAGCATGAGTCGCCTAATACCATTACCCCGGCTTTCCCGCCGAAACCCTAACATCATTCCAGTAAACGGTTTGTTGGCTTTATGGCAGAAGCAATGCAAAACTGTGGTACTTTCTTTTATATGCACTGAGAAGCGTCATCTTGCCGTTCATGGTATGTGTTTGTAGGAACAACAAAGAGAGATTACATTCGCGGCACTCAGGAATAATCGAGGTCAAATGCAGAGCAATGGACATCAAGAGTACAGTGGAGTTGAATTCCAAAGCAAAGAGCGCCTCTTATCCCATCGATACACCTTATGCAACAGATTCGGATGACTGCAGGCATACAGCAATACAAAGAATTCAACTGTGGAAGATTTCAAGGAGTGGCTGATCTCAAAGGCCGCGAACGGTTGGAGAGCAGTTAAATGTTCTTCGCACAGCAACAGCTCAAAGATTGGCTTCCCCTGACAAGCGTATGGCACTGTTGATCAGGAGAAAGCAGCAGCCGTAGGCTCTGTTCAAAGGCAGCAGCTATCCGAAGTTGATGTTGGAGAAAAAATTCTTCAAATGTTGTCACATTATGTCCAGGGCCCATAGAAGTAGAAGCGAGAAGCATATTTTGGGTTTCCAATGAACGGCTGTGGCGCCGCTGCCGCCAAGAATTCAAGAGACTTATTTTGAGACATATCATATTGTTTGATTGACATATCAACAAAGAAATGAGAAAAAGACATGCACGTAATCGAAGGCTCACTCAATATGAGCATCGTAGTCCCAGCCAGGCCAGCCGAATACGAGCCCCAGCTATTTTGTAAACCCGAAGTCCGGATGATCAACCCCAAGATTCTCCAACTCTTTAAATAAATTGGACCTATAGTACGACATCCCGCATCATGCTTCTTATTTTCTCGCTCTAGCCCAATCATAAACCCCGTACACAGCAGCGTACAAGCGGATATTAGAGCCAGAGAAATACCATATCCAGTTTTGAGCAACGGCGCAGCGCTGGGGACGAATAAATTGCTTGACACGATGCGCTAATGTTCCCTCAGGAATTCTGCACTGCGCTCCCGACAGCATACTTGTTAGTGCCCAGCCCAGTTGTTGGAAACGCAGGCAACGGTGACAGGCTGCGCAGTGAACACGCCGATAGTGACAATGAAGATTGCGAGGTGTTTGACTGTGAAGGATCCATGGGTTGACACAGTAAAATATTGTAGCCTATGCTGGCGAACAGGCATCCGAACATGGCAAAAGCCCAGCGATAGCGGACTCAATCGCTGAGATAGCCTACAAGAATCGTGACCCCCGGCTGTCGCGGCCCAAATTGGGATACTTTGAATCTGAGACTGGGATACTGTATATTCAAACTGATGGAGAATGGTGAGAATGAAGAAAGCAATTGAATATCCAAGGCAGTGATGGTGAAGTATATTAGGGCCCTGATCAGAGGAGCTTTGGTATGTTCGCCGATTTCTGAAGTAAAATTCACACCCTGTATGTATCTTCCAGTTCTTTATGATAATCCGGAGTACTTTCCCATCAAGCTGGTCCATTTTGGTAAAGCCAACGTCTACATGTAAATGTAACGCAATCATTTCTTGCTGTCTCTCTGAGGAACCTAGCCCACGAAGGCCAATCCACAACGAGGTGCTTGGTAAAATAGCTCAGTGCAATGGACATCAGCCCCTCGATAAATGGATATCCTACGTAATATCAGTTCTGCATTAATCGTTCCAGCTGCAGACCATCTCGTTGTTGCAGATACACATCAGCCTCATCTAGTAGCAGGGCCGCCTTCCAGTCACTAGCTATGCAGAAGGTACGAGTAAGCTGGACTTCCATTTCCTCAGCTCTCGCACTTAAGTCGACAGAGGAGATCTGAAAATGGTTAACAGTCAGGAACCATTTCAGATGATAGAAACATATTGAGTAGAGTGGCCGTTCAAGTCGTTCGGTAATGGCCTCTGCCGTAAGCGTTTCCCCCACTCCTGGCGGGCCGCTGTCACAAATTCAGCTTTCCCGCATAGTTATATTGGCCCAAAGAATGAACGCACAAAAGGATAATCACACCCTGGCCCTTTCCCGGAAATGACATCATCGAAGCCTTCTCCATTTGTCGCGCTGACACGGCTCTCCAAGATTTGATGACCTTCTTCTCCTCAGGGACGGTTAACTTGTCAAATGGGGTATGGAGAATTTGATATCCTCAACAACCTCCACAGCAAATTCCCCTAGACCAGCCGTGCGTGTTAGTCTGGTTACGGTCACTGAGTCGCCGGTATGGATCTCATTCCAAATCTTTTCATTCAGGGAAAAGCCGAGTGCTGTTGGGCTACAGACAGCCAAGTCATCATCCACCATCTCATTAGTAGCGGCTGACAGCACAGGCTCCTGTCCAAAATTGAGGCTCTAGGGAAAGAGAGAAACCTGGTAGAGGGGACCATTAGTGTAAAACAGGAGGTTAAATGCAGTGCTACACATGTCTCGGGCATGGCGTTCTCCTGGATGACGTCGAGATTTTCTCTTGGTTGGGTGAAATTTGGAGGTGGCTTGGCGCTGAGGAGGGAACAATCTAATTCCGGGCAGGCGCTTTATATAGTTATATCTTACAGCTATAAGGCACTTAAGTTCAACATCTCACCTTCCACCAAGGTTACGGGTGTCATTTGCGACGCCAGATATTCATGCCCAGCCAGGTTGTTGGAGACTTTGGATGAAGTTTGGACCGGCATGGCTATATTTGGCTTAGTTTAAGAAATTATTAACAAAATTTAACCCCACTAACCTTTGCGAAGCTCCCAATCCGGCAACCTCACCGAATAGTGCTTGTCGTGATGGAGTTGGTTCATCGCTCCGCCGAATCATCCCAGCTGATATCTCATCCAACCAGACCTCACACCTCTACTAGCTTAAGAAGTGTTTAATATAGATAGCAGCGGGTTCTCTGCTTCCCTTGTGGAACTAACCCAAATTGAATGTGCTTCCCCTAACTTGCTGTTGATTCACGCTCCTCCTTCATTTGACAATGCAGACCACGCTTCACAATTTCCTATCCCACAATGGCTCGTCATCAAATGATTCCCGGAACTGATAAAACTGAGTGCCAAATGTTGAAACTCTCCAGAAAACGCCAGGCTCCTGAAGGCAAAGGTAATATCCAGATCTTCTTTACCGTATTCCAGGCTGATTTATTATATGGAAACAGGTCAAGCGAGTCAAGAGAGAGCAACAAGAACAACAACTGAAATCCTACCGGAGGAGCGCACGTCTAAGCAGAAAAACTGCATCTGCATCTATATGCACACTTCTTTCAATATGGCTGAATGATATGATACTGATTTAATGGAGATATTGCAGTACTCTCCCACCTGCACCCACACTCAAACCCACACCCGAGAACAGAATATGAAGCCAAATCACAAACAATCCTGTGAAGATCAAGTCCCGCCCTTTTCAAAACAACCACGATTGTCTACCCATAGCTCAGCTATTGAATATCCTTTATTGGAAAAGCAGTGTCACATTAACAACTGGAAGAAAGCTGACCTGATTGAGTATTGGTGCAAGACCATTCACTGGCCTGAAGAATATTTTGAAGCCCAGCCTGGACAGACTGAAGATATGAGCCACCTTCTCGCGAAAAAAAATTCATCAGCTTCCCTTCGTCACATGAACTTGATGTCAAGTCTTGATATAGGCTCCAACATGATCACTGATCAAGAGTCAAGGGATGAAAAGAATGCCAAGTACAGAAGCGCTACTTATGAAACCCTCCTCGCTACTAAAGGCAGCTTCATGCGCAAGTCAGAGCTAGGAATAACAGATAAGAGCAAGCAGATTTGTAAGGATTTAGTGGAAATCAATCAACCTGTTCCCAAACACACACTATTTCGAGATAATACATTTGACAAGTTTTGTCAAAGGCTACAAGGAAAGAATGAGTCAAGAGTTATTCAAGATATATCCAATTTAATTGTACCTTCGGCAGAATCTCTCACTGTTAACGGGGCCAAGAATCTTAAACACTTAGTTGAAAGCGTCAATGAAAAGTGAAGCTCCTCCATTGCCTTCTGTGGACCGCGTCCGCAGCCGGATTATGCGGCCGGGTTCGACCATTCTGCGTTTACGGAAGACCAGCTGAATAAATTCGAGCCGTTCCTTGGCTACGACACAGATACCTACAGCTCATTCTTCCTGGCCACCTTCTACATGTACTTCCCCTTCTTGACCAGTGAGGTGAAAGGCACTGCCGCACTTGACATCGCTGATCGGCAGAAAGCACACAGCATGACCCTTGCTGTGAGGGGCGTCATTGAGCTGTTTAAAACTTGTAGGACGTGAAGATGAGGTCAACCGCGAGATCTTGGCTTTCTCGATCTCACACGACAACAGGACAGTGAGAATCTACGGCCATTATGCAGTCATTGAGGGAAGCAAGACTCTCTTCTACCGTCACCCTATCAGAACATTTGACTTTACGGAGCTGGACGGCAGAGAGAAGTGGACCGCTTACACATTTACAAGAAATGTTTATGAGAAGTGGTCGCCGGATCATCTGAAAAGGATCCGCTCAGCTATTGATGCGATCCCTCCTGGAGTAAATTTTGATACTCCGTAGTCAGAACTTGGCATCGACGAACTCTAAAATTCTTTTTATTTAACATTGACGATACCTAAATCAACCTCCTCTGGCACACCTCCAATTCATATTGAGAACCCAATTATTTTTTACCAGGACGGACTAATACAATGGCGATGCCACATACCAGATAAGCGATTCCATTTCAGCGTACAGAGGGTCATTTAGTTCCAAAGTACGGAGTAAATCCCACTCTATTTGCGCCGTCGATGGAGGGGGGGAAAGTAACCCCCAACACAGTCAACACACGAAACCGAACATATAGTAATCATCTCCATATCTCACCCCCCTCTTATCACAAGCCCTCAATTAGCCAAGGAAGAAGCAATAAATTAGAGAGAGGCGTCAAACTGCACCAGTCGAATTTGTAATGGAAAGGGGGTCGCTCAATTTTCTCTCAAGCTCCCAGATATTCAAATAAAAGAGGAAGTGCGGGCCCACTCTCTATATGGCGCTAATATAAAAGCGTACTAGTACATATTTAGACTTTACGAGATGTCAACTTTTGAAACGAATCGCCAAATAGACGCGAAAATCTCACCCAATCAGAGAGGCCCCAAAAAGCGCGTTATTTTGGGTTGTCGTGTCGAGTCGTTGAAGTGAAATGATTTTTTCTTCAATTTAGGATGACCTTCGCAGTCTCCGGGCAACAATGCCTAAATAGGTAATTTCCATTCGCCTGTGCTCCAGCAATTACCTACCTTACCGAGCAAACCACAGAGTCAATCAGAACGCTAGTAGCGTCGAGATGTCGATTTTAGAACGAATCGCCAAATAGACGCGAACAATCGACAGTCAATCAGAATGCACTAGTGACGCGTTATTGGCTCAGCGTGAATTTTTTGAGTTTGGTCTCAGCGTGAGACATTAGTCTTCCAGAGTACAGAATAAAATATATCATTTTATTCGTTTCTGTGGATATGCATAGACCAATCATTTCATAGCTTCTCGGAAATTGAAAGTTTAAAAAGAATTCATTTCTTCTGAAACTAGCATGCATTAAATGACCATATGAAAGAGGAGAATAGAAATAACAAGGAAAGAGAGGCGGATTGAAAACTTTGCATTTACATTACATACATGTATGTACATGCACATAGGGTGAACACTTTCAGCCCGTGAAAACAAGGAAGAAAAAGACGAACAGCCAACAAATAAATCAAAGAGCATAACATAAAATACTTGTTGTACTCGTACATTTCTTTCCCAGTGCTTGATAAATAGGAAAACTGGCTTTTCGTGTTTCGCTTTACTTTATCCGCAACTCCACGGCGAACGGGGCAAAAGGATCATCGGTATATTGAGGGACGGGGCAAGTAGAAGGATTGAAAAGAAAAGGGAAGAACATAGGAGAGTTCTGGCCGGTTAAGTCGGTTAAGTCGACAATGTGGTACAAAAATTCAACAGGGCAAGAGAAGAAGCAAAGAAAATGTAAAAACAGGATGAGATGTACATGTGCAAGCCACTGGTTAATGAACTTTGCTTTCTTTGTGGGAATCAAGCAAGGGTTAAAAGAGAAAGGCAGGGGAAACAGGCGTTCTTGTACATTTCGGACAATAATTATGACAAATTGGGAACAAGAAAACCGTTAGATCAATGTGGAAAACTTCAGAAAAAAAGAATTGGAAAAAGGAAAAAAAAAAGAAGAAAAGAAAAAATGCCGGAGAGGGGCGTGGTATGTCAGTAAATAAAAGGAATATAATTCTGGGAATGAAGGTCGGGGTACATAGATGCAAGAATAGAGCGTTCAGGTCGTAATTATCATCCCTTAAACCAAAGGCTCCATCTTCCTAAGGGGATTTATGTATCTTTGTACAAAAATTTACTTTTGGGTAGTTAATGTGCGGAGTTGGATGCACGATCCGTCAAGGTCTCAACTCTTCCCCCAACTGCAAAGGCACTCCGCCACCAACCCTTTTCTCTCGTGTCGTCGTCGTCATCATCGACGGACTCCCCGCAGACGGAGGAATCAACCCGTCAAAGTTAAGCCGCTTCCTCAACTCCTTTGAAGGCCGTGGTGTTCTGGAAGAGAGAGTACCTGGCGTGCGTCCGCCCCATGGTAACTGTGCGGGACTAGGGGTGACATTGACAAAGTCTGCGAAGTTGAATTGCTGAGCTGGCGAGCCGAAGTTGGCGGTTACACCACCGCCTGGTGTTGTGGTCAGTGAAGGGAGAAGTGCGGCGTGTTGACTGGGAGGGGTTGAGGGGGGGAAATCTAGTATGCTGTTGAGTTTTCCGCTCCCACGGTAATTTGCTGGAGTGGGAGAATTCGCTAGGTAGAGCAATAGGTCTACGCCATTCTCGCCATTCTCGCCATTTTCTTTTTCGATATCTTTGTCAATACGTGCCACGGTGCGGTTGCGTTTCGGAGGGGGAGTGCGAGGTGGGGAGGAGCTGATCATCGAAGAGCTGAAGGGTTGCTGCATGGACTCGTTGACAGCGATGGAATGGCGCTTGTGGTGACCAAGGAAATTGTTTTGGTATGCGGTACTTTGACAGTTGAGGATTGGTGACGATTGAGGCAGACGGTTGGTGGCCTTCCACGATGAGATCCGTAGGGCCTTTGAAGGTTGCTCTGTAGTAGGACTGGAAAGTCCGCGTTTCCGTGATCCGCCTCCATTGGTGTCAAGGGAGCTGGGGAAGAACATTGCGGCATGTTTGCTCCGCGAAGATCTCGGGAGCTCTTCAGATAGGATTGGGGTTGGAAGCGGGGACGAAGAAAAAGGGGTTTCGTAGCGGTTGTTGTCACATATTTCCGACGAAGAATCTGATATCACTTCCCTTTCACTAGGGCCGCTTATCGCAACTTGCTGTAGAGGTTGTAACGGTTCGATTCGACGGCGATGGGTTCGTTCATAGCGGACCTTTGCCAGACCCAGACGATCTTGGAGGTTGAGCGATATCTGCAACGCAAATTTTAAGGTATAAGTGAAAGGTTTATTATTATTGATTAATTGAGTAGGAAGATGTTTCGTATCCGGTCTATGTTCAAGGGTCGTACCTGAGCAAGATCGAGCTTGGGAATTTTCCGCCTTGGAGAGCCGGTGGGCCCTGTAGCAGCCATTCTGCCTCAATAACTCGTTATATTCGCCAGTTTGTCTCTTGATCTCGTTTAAAAAGTCGGATGAAGTGAGAGGGGAGGATTGGATGCCTAAGGCCAAAAATCTGTAGTTTGGGGGTTTGGGGGAAGCGGAGACGCCAGTTGCAAACGTTTTTGGAAGCAGGGTTAAAGAAGTCTAGGATATTCTCAATTGTTTTATGAAGATATAAAGGGGTTGGGGAGTAGCTGCAGGGTCGAAGATATCTTGCTTGCACCACAGACCTGTTTGGTGAATGTATGGTGGAGATGTGGCACGTAACAGAAGGGCGGGTTGTGTGTGCCGGAGCAAGACTTGCTTTGTAAAAGGTGTCGTGGGGTGTGGTGTCGTGAGTGTCCTGGGGTTGTGCTGGGTGCTGGTGCCCTGTTATTGGCGAATGGGCAGGGGTGGCTAGCGCGGCAAAACAGGGCGATAACCACGCGACTTTTTCTGGGTGAAGCGTCTCCAACTACCGTTTTTGATATTAACTACAGCTGTTGGAGCGAGCACTCCACGATAACTGTCATGGGAGCGTATCTATCACCACTTCTGATGATTAGGATCTAACTAGGATAACCACAACACAGCCCTTGCGACTCGTTCAGGGGATAGCGGCATGTCTTTTCCGCTTCAGATATGCTTTATTCCTCAAGGCCTTCTGCTTGGGCTGATGACAATGATATCGCTGATGATGTGGATTTGAATCAAACCCCAATTTAAATAAACTACTTGGTTAGCAGGTTTCGTGCCTGTCTTATTTCTACGAATTGTGAAACATAGGGTTGAACCTATCAACTCCAACCGGTTTCGATCGAATTTGCTTTTGCCGATAGTTCGTGAGAGGAGAACCATAAAAGGGGAAGAAATAACCAAAAGCCGAATCCATTCGTTTTACTTAGTTATATCACGGAATAAGAGGAAATGGATTTGCCATTCCAAAAAAAGAAAAAGAAGGAAAAGAAGGAAAAGAAGAAGGCGGAAAAGGTCCCCACATGTCCAATCCGCGTTCTCTCATGGACGGTTATAACGTGGAACATCCTCACTTCTGCGAAACCCATGTGCCTGGGTCTTTCTCAACATGCTCATCCAACGTCGACAATGGATCTAGGTTCAGTCTCTACTCGGGTACAGTAGCACTGTCATTTCTAAGAATGCTACGCAGTGGCTGGGATAAAAACCTCAGCGATGATATCTCCCTCTTGCAGCAGGGTTAGCGTCGCGATCCATTCGGCAAAGAGGACAGGCTGGTGGTCAACTGAGAGGTATCTTTTTTTGCAAAACGCAAGTGTGTCTGGAAAGCTGAATGAACTCTTTTCTTCTAGTGCGGACTATTACGGTTTGACAACCGGTTGGCTATAGAAATGTCAAAGGATAGTTAATGATCTGAGGTGGCAATAAGCTGAGTAAAATCAGACTTCAGCGAAAGATACTGGAATTAAGCTAGGTTTTGCTCAAGATCATTATCTAGAATTGGAAATGGTAGCTGATATCCAACTTGCTCATCTCATATCTTACCATGGTTGGGTATCGAATAAGATGAAATGCTAAGCGACATGATTTATTATTCTGTGGAGGCTGCCAGATGAGCAATGCGAGAGGAATGAAGGCTTTTTATATCGCCACATAGATGCGATTCTCAAACATAGATCAATCTACAACCATTAAGCAGTTTAACTTAATCGACGGAGTTCCAGGGGTATTCGACTATTGGTCCATCCAATCAATCCTGGCTCTTTTCCAAAGAGGAACCGGGGCCAGAGTTAAGTGCTCAAATCTCTATAAACATCCCAGGAACTCTTCTCTCAAACTGCCCGGCCATCTTGCATTTTGTTTCTGCTAGGAACCAGTGCATTCATTATTCTATTTGCACTTTGGCAACAAAAGGAGGATGGAAAACAGTGCATCTTTCTCTAAAACACAATCTTTTCTTAATGTTGTTCACTTTCACTTTGAAATTTTTCAAAGCTGTTGATGCTGCTTCTCACAAATTTGGCCTTTTATTTCCTTGTCCTTTTATTTCCTTTAATTTTAATTTTTTATTTTATTTTAATCTTTTCACATAATATTTGTATTCATCTCTTATTGGCGATGGCGGTGACAGCATTAAACTATTCAAGAATTAAAAGAGAGAAAATGAGCCAATCTCCACACATAACCTCAGGCCTGCTTTTTATTTTTTATTTTTATTGTTACTTTTCATCTGTCTAAAATACACCCTATGACTGCTAAACATATAAGAAAAGGTCTGGAAGTAGCCTGGGATGATCCCACCTATATATCATTTCAGCAATTGCACTCTGAACGGTTGGTGTTTAACAATTAATATGTCTCTATCTAAGTGGACATCAGCGTTATTATTTATTTTTGGCTGTCTATCCCTATTAACTCTCTGACGGGAGATCATCATACAGAATACCGTCTCCGCTGCGGCGACGATGACGACGACGACGACGATGATGATGATGATGATGATGATGAGGGGGGGAACTAAACAACAAGTCAACGACTCCCCGGACGACTAAACAGGCGCAATTCCCGATCCCTACTCACTTGCGAGGCTACGACCCCTCGTCTGCTCCCCACAGCAACACTTTGCTGTTGTGGATACGACTTCATAAGCTTAGCTATCAGTTAACACTACCCTCTGTAGCTGCTGGCTAAGAGCAAAACTAGTTTCTTTGTTTTCGCCCTACTGCTGTCTTCTTTTTTCTTTTTCTGTCGCCGGCTGTCACTACTTGGGCTTCTCGACTTCTTTTCTTCAGCTTCTGCAGCTTCTTGCATCTTCTCCTCTCCTATTCCCTAGGGACATATATGCTGCATACTCTGTGCAATATCCTACTCAGTCCACGCGCCCAGGGACCTCCTGGAGTCCTGGTGGCTGTGTCTTTCTGACTCCATCCCCACAATCGCTTGTTCCGTTGTGGTCACAAATTTCTCCTCCTTCTCCCTTGCCGCGTGGCTGACCCTGCCATTTCTCTCTTGCGTTCTTCTCTCCTCTTTCTCCACGCTCTTCCCCCCCTTCCCTTCTTTTTCTCTTTCTTCCCCCCTCATTTTCGTTTTCTTTTTCTTCTTATCTTCCAGTCTGTTTTTCCCATTCCTTTTCCCAATCTCGGGCAACTCATATACCAAATACGGTGTGTCCGCAGCTGCTGGCTCAGAGCAGCTATAATAGATGCAGAAATGCCCCTTTTTAAGGACTTTCGTCGCCGGTCGAGGGCAAGCTTTACGCTGTCTCCATCTTCTTCCTCCCTGGCCAATGGCCATGTAAACCCTGATGCGTCTTCCTCCACTCTCGATTCCCCGGCTCACAGCATCCAAAGTTCCACTATATCGTTTCTCAATGGAAACAGCAAGAGCAATAGCAACACGAGCAATAACAGTAGCAACGGCAGCAATGCCAACAACCAATCTGTCTCACATTTACCTGCCCTGCCCCGATTGAACGCAAATGATGGCTCACGCCCGGGGACAGTACCCCAGAGACCTGTTCCTATCGGTTCACAGTCGAAGCGAAATAGTGTCACGGTGAGTTTTCTCATATTAGGATATTATTTACTTTCCACTGAAATGGGTTCCGCAATATCCATATATTTAGATCACATTGCTGATATTTCACCTCACTTTAGAATGGCAATCTCACATCCACAACCAATTCTGCAAGAACAGGTGTACCTATATCTCCATATGCACCAAGAGTTTTTTCGGTTTCTGATAACTCATGGGTATGCAGACTCGCACTGATGTGACTTCAAGCATAAATGGCGTGTTATAGTCTGTATTATGGATGCTAACTTTCACTTACCCTGTCAGGTTCATCAAAAGATTCTTTTGATTTATGGGGAAACTGGAGATGCACAGCAGCACTCCATTGATGGAAATATAATAATTTCCAATCCTCAAGATTCATTTCCTACCATTACCTGGCCAGTCTCTGAATCCCATTTCAAGGCTCTGATCCACCTTGTTCCAGGCCCCAACAAACTACGGCTCGACTTCACATCCTCGAAACTTCAGAAGCAAACTGTCCACTCGTCGTGGATAAGCATAAACTATTTACCGTTGGCAAATTGCCCTCCACTCCAGCTCGCAGTCGTGCTTGGGAGTGATTCATATGGCCACTTTGATGCTGTTCCGGAGAGGATAGCTCGGGAAGGAAACGACTTGGAAACTGCTATACGGAAATTTCGAATGGCTGCATATCTATGGCAGTCTTTTACTGCTGAACAGATGTATCGAAACAAATTCGGGAGGCGCTGTTTCCGGTTCGAAGAGGAGTGGCAGGTTGGAACTCTAAGTTCTCAGGATACAACATCAGACCAAATGAGAAATGAGGCCAGAATACATATTATCCGGTGCAACAGAACAGTTGACGAACTTAGAGGTCTCAGCGTCGTACAGCAGGATGGCACAAGATCGGATAGTAACGAACTCTTCAACGTTGTACTCGAGGCAGTCGAACGCTACTTTGGCTCCCGGGGAGGTAAACGACATTACGTTTCTGCCCTGCTACTTGATAGCCATTGGGATAAAATGACCCAAACTATCACAGGCCATACGGCCGCCAGCTCCAGTGGTCATGATATCAAGCTAGCCCTTTTTGGGTCGTATGCGTTACAAAACTATCCAGCCTCCATGGAAGATATAGTTGCAGCTTTTACGGATTGCACTCGAACTGATTTTAACTTCGTTGCCAATTATAAAAATGAATGTGGGAGTAGCTGGGAGGCTGCCAACTCTGGAATTGGAGGCCATCTCCATGAAATTGGCCGTTTGTTTGGCTGTCGCAATCAGGAGACCGGTATCATGAGTCGCGAATACGTTCCGTTGAATCGAAGTTTCACTACTCGAGAGCCCTATTCGACACGCACGAAGTCACAGGGGCTTCGACTCTGCCTATGTCAGGACGAACCTACTTGGCATAGACTCGACACCCTTCGTTTCAGATTTCACCCGTGCTTCCGGCTGCCTCGCGATTCACCTCCTATATCTGACGACTCTATTCAAGTGTGGCCGGTCGACAATGGCAAGACATTAATTGCCTCCCCTTCTGGCATCGCGTTCATCGAAATCTTCGTGGACGATGCTGAGATCTGCAAATCATTCCTCGAATATGTGGATGGTGATTTCGGCAATAATGCTGTGCCCAAGCAGATTACTCTCACAGAAACCGAGATACGTCAACATGCCCCTGAAAGCGCCAAGAAGAACAGAAAGGTCAAGTTGCTGATATACTCTGGCGGTCTTAACACGCATACGGTTGACGACGCGAATCAGTTGAAAACTAAATATTCGATTGCTAAGTTGCCCAACGGACAAGTTGGATACAAGGGGAGCAAATTAGGACAATCTTGGTCGGCGGATAGCGTCGCTGAGCAGTTGTTCTTGGAGTGCGCGTTTATCCAGACGAAGCTTCTTGTTTCCGTGAAAGTGTATCATGAACATTTCATATACGGGTTGCAGTTTTGTTATGAGGATTCCACGAGTCAGATGTTTGGAAATAAGAATTCTAGTGCTAAGTATGGTGAATTTGTATTTGGTGAGTTTTTACACACGGTCTCCCTTCCCACCACCTTTCCCAGATTTTGTTTTCTCTATTAAGAACTTCGATATGTCCAAGTACGACTTACTGATATATTTCCTCTCCTATTCACGGCTAGACACGCGTCGTGGTGAGATTCTGATGGGCTTCTACGTGAAGGCTGCTCTGGAAATCGATGGAATTGGAATTATCACGAATCTCAGCCGGAAATCTGAGCTATTTGGGAACGGGAGTGGTAAAAATAGGTAAGCAGGCACTTTCATATCCCCTTTGCACCTTTTTCATTTACCCCTATCTCCTAATTCTCTTATTTTAAATGACTATGAACGCAAATGCAAGGAATTTTAAATACGCATAGCTAACTTTTTGTAGCCACACATTGATACCACCAAGGGGCTACAGTATTGCGGGCATTTCCGGCTCCGTCGCGTCCTGTATCGAGGAATTCTCTCTGATTATCACTCGATGATGGTACACCTCTCACGTCCATCTAATTTCAATAGTCTTTCACAGTCGTGCTTGCTCGATACTTTCTCCCGCTGAATTACTGCTGTTTTCGCAGCATCCGTTCACATTTCCGATTTATGCAACCCTCGACATCGAACTTTAATGTCAGAATTGGTGAATATACACCTCTCGCGCCTCCTTTCCCCCATCCGATCATAACTAATACTCGACTGAAAAGATCCTGCTCTCAGATGCGTGACTTTTTCCTTTCCTTTTGCATGTACCCCTTAATGAAGTGGGACATACATCCAGTATTCCGTGATATCCGTTTTTACACCCTTGTCATAATATTTCCAGTGACGACTTTCTGTGGTTTCCTTTTCATTGCGTCGGGCATCTGGCTCTAGGGCTAGATTAAGGGGGCGTAAGGGGGTGTGAGGAGGGGGGTGTTAACTGCAGAATAGGGCATGGAGGGTTAACTGGATCACACTAAGGTAACAACTAACAACGGTTTATAGTACAGATTACAGATGTATTTTGTTGTTGCCTTTGTGCCTTTCCTTATTCGTCCTTTTTTTTTACTTTTTTTTTATGCGTTGTAGAATTATCGGGAGTTTGTAATGGTTCGTCTCGTCTGGTGATGATGTCCATGATAACGACTTCTCCGTGCATATTCTATTTCAAAGGTCGGGATGAGCAAATTTACATGACTGTTAATAACTATTTGAGGTTCTATGTTATGCTATTTTTGTCGTTTTCTGCTTTTTCCATTTTAACTTCTCCTTTCCTCTTATTTTCCTGTTTTCTGCTCCCATTGATTTGAACCCGGCGGTATTCCTGATAACTTGAATTCTTCACTGGTTTGCTATTATAGAACGGGGCTTCGCAGCTTCAAATTCTCTTTAGCTCCACTGTTTCCTCGTTAGTTTTTGATTTTGATTTTGATTTTTTTTTTTTTTTTTCGTTGTTACCTTACGGTTTATCGGATATGGGGAGCTGGGTCGGGGGAAATGGCGTCTCTGGTTTGACAAACTTTCCATTTCCCTTCAATTTGAATTTTCATCGTTCGTTTCAATCGTCTCAATGGTATTATTCATGGGCTAATTATAACGTTATGGGACGGGATGATCTTTAATGGGCCGGGGGATCATGCAGGGACCAAAATTGCCCCGCCTGGTTCTAGGTGTGGGTCTGGGTCTGGGTCTGGGTCTGGGTCTGGGTCTTTTCGAAGTTTCGCGGAGGCATTGACATGGTAATTGGAAGTAGGGCACTTGAAAGGCGTTCGTTCTTCTGCTGTTGATATTCGCCGTCTGTTCGGGTGCAGTTTCTCGTTTACTCTGTGTTTATAGGTACGCTATGGGTTGTTTGTTTAGACTCCTAAAAAGGGGTATAATAGTTGCACCCTCAGGGTTCTTCTTCCCTTCGTCTTCGCCTTTGATTGGTTGTCGGCTTTATCGTCCCTTACTTCATGATTTTTTTTTAGGTCTTTTATAGCTTTATTTAGTTATATCCTTAAAGCCCCTGTGCGTCGCTCTAGAGTCTAGGTCTAGCATTTGACTCCTTTCCCACGAAACAGGATTTGCCGGGAGAAAGGGAAAATATGTACATGTGCATTTCCAGGGAAGCAAGGTGAGTTAGGAGATTAGAGCATTTTCACAAAGAAGCCCACGAGTCGACACACATGGGATAAAAAGCAGGCAGGGCCAAGGTTGATCCAGATTCTCAAATTGCCGGTCACCATGGAAATCCACATTTAGGTTTTTGGTTTGTAGGCCTAGACCGTTCGCACAATAGGGGCAAACATAGTTCGATCTCCACAGCGTGTCCCATGAGATTGATTATTATTAAAGGAGATTCATTGTTACTCCGTAGTTAGTTATAACTAGCTAATTTTTTGTATCTTTTCGCATGCATGAACCTCTCCAGTCTTCCAATTTCCTCCCACGCCGTTAATCACATCCTAGTGACGACATCCCGCTGCTATCTATCATGGTGGATCCGTGCAGTATGGGTATATCCATGTAGTTAAACATCCACATAAGCGCCGAAACGAAGGAGGAGTGCACTTCTAATTTTAGTGCCAACGGCCTCGGTATGATTCCCTCCCTTTATCGAAGGCGGGAAGGGGTTCGTTCCAGCGCCAGTAAGATTGAAAGGGCGCGCGGGAACTGCAGCGCGCGCAGGGAGGAGAAACATATGGATTTATCCTTGAGATTCAAAGCACCAGAGCCTTTGCTTCTTCACGAATTAATGTTTTTATTGTTTTTATTTATTTGTTTATTTAATTTAATTCATCGTCTCTCCCCCCCCAACTGGAGAGTAAACAAACAATCAATGGTACCACTGATATTCGAAGGGCAAACCGCGAGATTCCCCTATCAAAACATTTGCCACCGTGGAATAAATGGGTGGAGTTCAAATTGAAAAGAAGATATCTTCCACAAATTGTTCTTTTGCGTGTTCCCATGACGGCCATTAAGCTCTTTTGAGAGCTCTCTTTTGCCCCTGCAGCGGACGCGGGCAACGTCTTGATTAAGGCCTCTTATGGCTCGACGTGCTACCTCCACAACCATCACCTGAGTGGGCGAAATGTTAGGTACATGTCTATGTTCAAAGTGCTTGCCATCTCGCTTTTTGCAAGACATCTCTCTTTCATTTGATGCTATGAGAACGTATGAGAAAGCTGTACTTTTTGCGTGTGACGCCAACACTGGCTGGAGGGTGTGTCGTCGAAATAAACTTTGACCGGCGGAAGAAGTCGGGGCCGGTGGATTCTTCAAGTATTTGGCTGGGCTCAATCAATTGACGAAGAAGAAGCAAAATAAGTCTACTTCGTTACTTTCCGTGCACTGTGTAATAGTTATTATTTCTTTTTTTAAATCGTCAACTACTTGAGATTTCAATCCAACAGGCCTGTGGGAGAAGTGAAAGGAGATTGAAGAAAATCACACAATCCGGACTACCCGGGAAACTGAGATGAGTGTCACTGGCTTAGGTATCTCCAGGGGGCTATACAACGACTGCACCCTGAGATGTCGGAGCGAGTCACACCTACTGGACTGAACATCCGCACCAATCAGATGCGTGGGCCCGAGGTCTATAAATGCCACTGTGCAAGACCGGAATAATACCCAACTGAAAGATCCGATCGTTGTCTTACCAATGGACTAATCCTCTATTGAAGTAAAAGTTTAGCCCTGGTTTAATTATAGTTGTTGCGTTGGGAGACAATAGAGAGGAGGGGGAACTCCACTCCAGTTGCATACCATAGTGTAATATATCGAATTTATTACTATTATTATTAACGAACATCTCTTCACCGGGGGATCATTCGAATGTGGGATGTCTCAATCCTCGAGTCTGCCTTGATTTATGTTGTGTAAGTTGATGATCATTTACAGTTGTTTACAGTAACTATGTTTAGGTTCCCCCGAACCAATATTGGAGTAAATAGTTTCCTTCCCGAACCCTATGTGCTGATCCACGGAAAGGATATCTCATGCACATGGTCTCTGCTTCTTTGGATACCCGCGCTCATCCATTGTTAGGTTCCATGGTATGGGTGATTGAACGCGTTTGTTTTTGTTTTGGCTGAAATATCTGAAGAACGAAAAAATGGGGTCAGTCACGTCGCTAATTGAGCGAAATAAACAAAAGTTAAAAACAGAGTGGGAGCGGAAAAAAAAGTGGACAAAAAAAAAAAATCCTGTTATCTGTGTATTGATTGTCCTTAATTTTCAGGGCAAGATACATGGAAATTGGACCCAGATTTTCCTCGACAGGCACCAACCTTGTACCCTTTGTTGTTAGATGCAGGCACAGGTTGCAGTCCGTTTAGGGTTATTTACAGAGTGTGGCATGACTTGTGTATACGGAAATCAGCGAAGAAATAGCATTGGAAATCATTTCCGATAGAATATTTCCCTCATCTGACTGGAAAAAAATAACGGCATCCACGGAAGAGTCGGAGCTCCACACGTTGCAGCAGAAGACTGGCCCGTTTCCTATGTTAATTAGTTATTTGCTTCTGGATTTTGTCAACGAAATCAGCCGGGGGGGGGGGGGGGTCTTGTAACTACTGTAGTCCCAACCCATTCTCATTTCCTCATCTTGTTGGAATATAATAGCAGAAGACCAATCTGACTATGATTCATCATTCGTTCGACCGTGAACAAAGCAGGGCGTTGTTTCGTTCTTTTCTTTTTTCTTTTTCTTTTCTTTTTTCTTTTTCTTTTCTTTTCACATCTGCCCCTGTGGCTTGCTCCAGATTGACCAGTGCCTTGTGCGGGGTCGAATGAGGTTTGTGGGTGCAAGAGGGCGCCGGGACGCAGTGGCTGGGGTCCATATCTCTAAAGTTATATTCGGGATTCGGCGTTGGTCCAGAATTGATCAGCGTCGGTGCCGAGAAGCTGGTGCTTCAGCTCAAAATAATTATTGTTGTTGTTATTACTGCTCCACAATGCATAGTTTGAGGGATTAACACGTTTGATGAAGTGCATTGAATGGGGGGTGTGTGTGAGAGAGCGCAACAGATTTATTATTCCGCCTAGCTCTGGAAATTATATAACTGAGGAACATTATGGGGAACAAATAGGTAATTTTCCGTTCCGAATTCTAAATAGTTACTCGAACACAAAAAGGGAGCTGAGGGAAAAAGAGGAGGTGGCGATTCCCCATCGACTTTTAGCCTTGCAATTTTGGACACCGAGGCCAAAGGACCCAGAACAGTTCTTTTGCGTGTCGAATAATCAATCATATTGCATGTTTACTCCCTCTCCGAAAAGGAGGGATGGAAAATCGGAATGCGGTTGAAGCCACAGCATCGCATCATTTTCTCTGTTATTAAAAGTTTTTAGTTATGGGGTATCACATCTCACATGTAGTTCTAAGCCGATTTATGGTCTGTAGAAACTGCAAGACGACTCAATAGTATTTATTTATTATGCGCCAGAAGAAAAGAGCGGTTGGAGAAGAGCATTACTTGTTACACTTCTACTCAAGAGTGTTATTTCGTCTATTTCGTTGCAAGTGGATGAGCCGGAGTAGTACTAGCAGAAGGGATGGAAATTAAGTCGAGAAGGGGGAAAAAAGTCAAGTGTGTCATGAAAGGTATTATTATTATTGTGGCACACACATGTTGTAGTTGCACGTCTAGTAGTTACTTCTTCCATGTCCACCAACCAAATTTATGAAGTACCTGAGAAGTACCTCTGGATAGCTTCAACTATTGCCTAAACTCTCTGGGTTTTGCATCTCTTGTCCTCATCTTAGTAACTGATTACCTAGCAGCCGCCGAAGAAAAATCTTCTCCAAGGCACACTACTTCGACCCCCGCCCCCAAAAAAAGCAATAGGTGAAAGCCGAGATCACAGATCGTAGTAGAAACAAGCTTCCTCATTTTATTGCAAGGATGAATGTTAGATGATCGCCGAAGTACCAAACACGTTCTGAAGATATTCTTGGTTTCTTTTGAAGAGTCGCAAGAGGGAAAGTGTACTAAACACAGCCTCCTCCGTCATTGATATTCTTTTTCATTCAGCAAAGCGTAAAAATTGAACTCGTGTTGTTGGTTGGGAGAGATATTGGCAAGCCACATGCCCTCACCCATTCTCTGGACCCTGAAACGGCCCTGAATTTGCCTTTTTATATTAGTCCATTGAACTAATGTGAATTTTTAGTCTTTTTCTTTCTTTTCTTTTCTTTTTTTTTTTTAGTTGATTTTCTCTGGTCCGTGTGTTTCTGGTTAACCGTTAGGAAAGGGCTGAGGATCCTTGTTGGCCCACGAGCCCCCTTGATTTTCCCACCGCATGATATAGCGATTGGTTCCCACGTTGATGGAGAGGCTTTCGCTGTTAAGGTCAATTTTTGCTATTTCTGAAGGCGTGATCATTCGTCTAGCTGTCCGTATTTAGGGTATATGGAGAAACTCAAAACGAAGTTCCCCTCAAAACTTTATCCGACCGTCAGGTGCAAGGTGTCGGGAGTTACATATTTCATATTGGCTGAGTTATTCTGTTAATTCAGCTAAAAAAAAAAAAAAAGAGGGCCTTTGTGCCTTGGAAGAGAAGGGGAATGATAACCGAGCAAATGAACAAGTCCTTCAGTCGGCCACACAGATCGGTTTTTGTCTATCTTTTTGTCTCCAAACCAGTTCCCCGTCTGTTGTCCCGACCGTCGAAGTTAGTAACTGGGAGACTTTTGACTATCGTATCACCGCATGACTCCAATGTAAGGGCTTTCGAGATCATGCGTCTGGATTAGAGAGGAGCGGACCCCAGATCCAGGAACTGATATGTAATGTAACGTACATGTACTGTACACGCTCATGTCATATCAGTTTACGGGGTGTTTTTTGGTATGCAGTTACTTTTCTGATTCCCGACAGTTCACTTTCTCTTCCCTCTGAACCAGCCGCGCTTCGGGTAATTGGGAAGCCTTCCCCGAGTGGAGCTTTATTGATATATATATAAAGAAAGGAAAAAGTAGAGGCAAAAGAGATGGGTGCGGGTATGCAAGATACGCTTGAGAGCTCAAAAGTGGATCCTGGCATTTGAAAGAGACGTATCGAACGGTTATATAAACCACACGCAATGGAAGAGAAATCCTCCAACAAATAATAAACCTCGGATATCTTTGGATAGCTCTTTGCTAAGCTTCCGTTGTTTTGCGCTTCTTGCTTTCCCCGCACGCCACTGATAATCGCTTTTTCTTGCCCGATTTGTCGCGAATGAAGTGAATTTCTCATTCTTCAGTTCAGCGGGAAAGTTCATGTGTGCCACTGTGTCGGGGTCGATTGATAGCTCCTGCATATGTATATACCTGGACGCACCTAAGGTAGCGCAAAGTTGATCAATTTCTGCGTCGATACCAATGTTAGTATGGTTATAGGTAAGTGTTAGGGTAAAGGTTGGGGAAAAGAGCAACAAAAAATAAATACATAAATAAATAAATAAATAAATATTTTCGGAGGATATGCCAAACAAGTCAGAAAATCCATCGCCCCTGAAAGTTGCGGAGTTTCCATCGATGGCTAGGAAGGGGGGGGGGGGGGGGGGGGGGTCTCTTCATTGACAACTCGCAAGCGATTGAAGATTCTACTCCCGTAACTGAACAATGTGAGCAAAGTTCCTAGAGGGAGATGTAATGTGATCCACAGCATCTGATATTCCACTCTGCGTCTTCTGATCGAATGATTGCTTCTGGAACAGATCGCCTACGAATGACAAATTGATCGGTCTGGCCCGAAGATCTCCGCCGATGTCGTGGTAGGAAATAAGCATAGCTTCGACTGGCTCGGGCTGGCTCAGATCCATACTGGTATAACTGGCAAAAGGAAAGAGGAAGAATGAAGAATGAACAAAAACAAATGTAGCATTATAATAAAAACTGGAACTGGGGTTGAAGAACCCATTTATTCCAGATACGGGAGCGCTATTGTACTGTAGTCATGCACATGTACGTACTCGACATACGTGTTGTGAATCCAACCATCCCTTTTGCGTCGTCCGATTCCCAGAGCCCCCCCCACCAATCTCCCTCCCTACAGGGAGAAAAATGGGCGGCTTCGTTGAACTGAAGAACGATGTCTTGTAAAACAAGCTGCCCGGTTTGATGGAGCGGCATTGGTTGTTTGCGAAAGAGAATGACAACGAAACCAGGCAGATATCCTTCTTCCTTCTGGAAGGATTCCAGATCTTCGCTGCAGAAACGCTCAAAGAGTTCTAGCGTGAATTGCACCGAAGCGCAGGCTAACTTGTTCCGTCCCGAGTTATTCGCTTTGTTGGTGGTTTAACTTAACTGCGCTCTTCCAATGCCAATGCCGTGACAACCAACAATGTTAACTCTTACATGTACTACTGGGTTTAACTTCAACCTCTGTGTGTTCGGACTCCTTTCGAGACCCTTTCATCCCCTTCTGACTCCATCTGCCTTAACAGGCCGAACCGTATCATCGTTCTTGTTCTTCTTCAATGCAGCGAGGCTTATTATTGTTATTTTTATTAGTTATCCATTTCCCAATTTAGCCCCTTCCCACCCTAGAGTCAACCCCGATACCATCAATTGAGTTCCTGACCCCGAAATAGCAGTTTTGCGCCTTGTTTTATTTTTGTTTATATTTATATTTTCTTTTTCCCGTCTTTTCTACTACCCTATGAAGCTAAATGCAACAGGGGGGAGAGAGGTGGAGTGGGCCCAGAGAATCACACTGCACATACATCCAGATGTTATATAACTACATAATAACTACCGAACTTTTTTTTTTATTGATGACGCGATACTCCCAAAAGGCCGGTGCCCCCTTCACAACAACCTTTTTCTAGGCATGTGAGACTCGCAACAATCGACCCGCCAAACAGGAACGGACTGAAGATTATTAGTATTTATGTTTTACGGCGAAGGGATGTGAAGAAAAAGCCTTTAACAGGCGGATGGTGATGTCATTCGGGCAGCTTAAAAGAACGCCGGGATATTCACTTTTTTTTTTTTTTGTAAAGTTTAGGTTGTTCAAGGTGACTTGACTAGTTAAACCCAGCCGAAACCCCCCCCCCCCCCCCCCCCAAGCAAAAACATATTTTTTCCAAGGTTAATAATATCCCTTGAGCCAACCAGGATCTCCCCCGGACCTCCCGTCCCAAGGTCCACTGTCCACCGGCTTAGCGTTTCGATAACGTAAGAATGGGCTTCGGAGTTTGTTGCTGTTTGGCACTACAAATGATGATAATATAACAAGCCGCTACTATTGGCTGCAACTACCGCCCTTTCGAAAGCTTACCTAGATTGGATTGGCCTTATTCACATTATGAATCAACATTTGAGTTGAATGCCGATAGTTAGCAGAGTACGGCTTATGAGTGGGGAAAATGTGTCCGGCGTTCGTCATACAGAGCAGAGAGCGGTTGGAACCTAATAGAGAGAGAGCCTTACGGGACGGGCTGGCTTGGAGCACGCGTCAACGTCTCCAACGGCAGCATAAGCATTTGTAACGGAAATTGTTCGTGATAAGGAAATAGTATAATATAAATAGGTGCTTTTAATCAATGATGATTGCACAGCATGAGATATACAGACTCCGCTCTTCCGAAGCGCTCGGTGTGGAACCCGAATGCTCTCGTTTATTTGCGAACGGTAATCAAAAATAAGTGGAATAGATAAGTAAATAAATAAATAAA